CACACTAAAAAACCACACACAGACACCAATCAACCACAAACACACACTAAACAGCCACACACAGACACACACTCCCTGTCTTCTTCATGAGAAGCAGCAGCTGTTGACAGCTTTAGCTTTGACCAGGCTGCTGTGTTTACTTTAAAGCTGAGTTCTGGGCTCTGAGTCCGTCTCGGGTCGCTGAGGTCGAACATCAGAGTAAACTTTGCTCCAACATTAGCTGCTCACAGAAACCGGTCGCGTTCATGGGAATAAGTGTTTGTGGGAAAACCTCCCAGATGCTGTTCACAGCGGCTGCTGGGAGGAGAACGGACCAGAGCCAGATATCAGATGAAACTGAGCTGCTAACGTTAGCAGCACGGTTCCTCATTTCAGTTTATTCTTGCTTTTTGCTGGAATAAACACTCATTATTGTGCATTTACATCTTGTTGGCGTCATATTCCCCATCGGCTCAGTTGCTTCTCAGTCTCAGATGTTAGCTAGCCGTTAGCTTTGTTAGCTGGGTCAGCTAGCATGTTACACCACAAGATTAAACCAGGTAGAGCCCAGTTATGTTAGTGGTGTGTCGCCTGAGATACAGATCAACTGAATCATATGTTAATGCATGAACGCTGGAACAAAGGCCAAGGTGGTGACCCCAGATGGCAACAGTAAGGAGTCTGACATCCTGTCTGGGGTAATGCAAGGGGACACACTAGCCCCCTTCCTCTTCATCATAGTCCTGGATTATGCGCTTAGGAAGGCAATCAGTGGGCGAGAGCAGGACCTTGGCTTCATGCTAATACCAAGAAAGTCGAGACGACACCCCGCAGTAGTCCTCACAGACCTTGACTATGCGGACGACATCAGTCTGCTTTCGGACAATGTGGAACAAGCACAAGAACGACTGAACAGAGTAGAGCTAGAGTGCGCCAAGGTTGGCCTTAGGCTAAATGCCAAGAAAACTGAGGTCATCACCTACAACGTTCCACCAGAACGTCAACCTCTGACAACAGCAGGAGGTACTGTGCTGAAAGAAGTCGAGGACTTGAAGTACCTGGGCTCATGGGTCAACACAAATGAGCAAGATCTAAAAGTGAGGAAGGCACTGGCATGGAGGGCCCTGAATGGCATGACCAGTGTACGGAACGCCAACCTCGCCCGCCAAACCAAACTCAACTTCTTCTATGCAACAGTAGAATCTTTTCTCCTCTATGGCAGTGAATGCTGGACCTTGAAGGCAACCCTTCAGAAGTCTCTAGACGGGTGCTACACCAGGATGTTGCGGGCAGTGCTTAACATCAGCAAGAGCATGCATGTAACCAATAGGATCCTGTATGAGGGGATACTAAGGGTGGGAGAATGAGACTAGCAGGACACTGTCAAAGGCATCGAGAGCTGCCAGCCAGCAAATTGGTGCTGTGGGAACCGACACATGGGCATCGGTCACGAGGACGTCCCACGCTAACGTACGTGGACATACTCAAGAAGGATGCAGGAGCTCAAAGTACCAACGAACTGGTCAGATGTCTGGAGAATGGGGACGACTGGAAACAACGATGGAGGGCTCGTCTGAGGACGACCTAGGAGGATATGTTAATGCAGCTTTTAATCGCGAACAGAGCCAGAAGGAAATATCTGCTAACCCTAACTGATGCTAGCTACTTAGTTTTGCTAGCGTCATTAGCATGCTTTGCAATTTTAGCTATCTTGTAATGTTTCTAAATGTATTGATTGCATTTTTTAAGGTATCTAATTTAAATCATAGTTTTGGACAAGAATAACATTCCATATTAGCTCGTTTACTCTTCAGGCGAACTGAGGATCAGTAATGAGCTAGCTGTTAGCCTTGTTAGCTGGGTCAGTTAGCACACTGAGATGCAGCTGCAGCTAATTAGTCAAATTATTGTCATTTTCAATCAGAGTATCAAATACATACTCTGTCTCATTTCACCAGAACTGTGCTTTTCTTCTTCTCTATTCCAGCATGACTGTGGACATTTGAAGAATTTAGCTTCGTCTTTTCTAGTGGTGTCTGGATAAAAGCAGTTCATCAAAATCTCCGAAGCTGTGAATTTGCCCCTGACACCGATCCACACATCATTAAATAATAACCACACAAAAAGATCACAGACACACACAAAACAGCCACAAAGAGACACAAAACGGCCACAAAAGGCCCAAAACAGCTACAAAGACACACACAATGACAACAAAAAGACACACAACAACAACAAATGTTCACAGTGAGACAGCCGGTGAAGTCCTTTCACCACTGATCTACAAACAGAACAATAATCATGAGCAACAGACGACTAAACTGTTGAAACTGAGGCCTTTTATTGTGAACATGTCCTGCTGCAAACATGACGAACACAGGTTTTTTTGGGTTAACTGTCCAAGCAAACAGCCCTCAGACCTCCTGGTTGGGTCATTAAACCCATAGATATGTATCATAAAGGCCTTTATGATACATATCTATGGTTAAAGCCGCTGTACACCAACCAACAGCTGGCTGACTCCATCCTGCTCTTATTCTGAAGGCGGCTGTGTTTGGGACGCTTCTGTCTGGTTCAGCAGCAGCTTCCTGTCTGTGTGTCTGCGCGCTCAAACCCACTGTTGTGTGTCTGCAGAGCGCCTGCCGACGTCCCCCATCACACCCCATCCCAACGCCACGGCAGCCGCGGGCGTGGTGATGGCGTGTTTCCATGACGACGATGCCTTCAAGTACCGGGCCTACGCCTTCACCTACCTGCTGGTGTTTCCCGTCGCCTTCCTCTGCAACGTGGGCGCGCTGGCCGTGTTCTTCCTGCAGAGCGGCCGCAGGTGTGAACAGTCCCGGTGCAGACACAAAACACACACCTCACCGGCAGCTCGGTGCGCGCGCACACACACACACACACACACACACACACGACAGGAGTCATTATGTGCTTTTAAGCATTTAACCTTTAACCTGTAGATTAATGGTCTCTACACCTTAATCCTCACTAGGGGGCTGAAGTCTATCCCAGCTGACTCAGGGTGAAGGCAGGTTCACCTGGACAGGTAACCAGTCTATCACAGGGCTACACTTAGAGACAGACAACCAAGCACACTCACATTCACACCTACGGACAATTTACAATCACCAATTAACCTCAGCATGTTTCTGGACTGTGGGAGGAAGCCGGAGAACCCGGAGAGAACCCACGCTGCACGGGGAGAACATGGAGACTCCACGCAGGAAGATCCCGGGTGTCCTCACCGGGACGCCAACCGGAGACCTTCTAGCTGTGAGGCCACGGTGCTAACCACCGAGACACCTGCAGCCTCATTGAAAACATAACAAGAATGAAATTTTTTTTAAAAAGGACATTTTCTATTATTCAGCGGTGTTAAAAAGAAATATGTTCATCTAAAGAAAAAGGGGTTAATGATGTCCTAGTGTCTAAAAGGAGAATCAACATTTTCTATAAACTAATGGCACATCTATAATCAAAGAAACAGGACATTTTTGATCATTTAATGGCATAACAACAGCAATAAAACACAGATTTGCTGTGTTTGGGTTTTGTTTGTTTGTTTGTTTGTTTGTTTGTTTGTTTGTTTGTTTGTTTGTTTGTTTTAAATGTGTACCTGTGGTTTAATTAATTAATTAATTAAAGTTTAAAATAATTTTAAAAAATTAGTACAGTGAATAGAAAAAAAAATGAAAGAATTATTGAATTAAATTCATTTATTTTTCATGATTAGGGAGGAATAAAGGATGTTCTGGGGTTTTTTTAAGAAGGTGTTTGTAGTAAATAAATAGTATGAATCTGGCCATTTTCTATAAAATAAAACAAATGAAATAAAATATGTACATTTTTTAACTACCAATCATTTTAGTTGATAGTGCACCAGCAGTTAAACATCTATTTTTCAGAAGCTGAATTTATGGTGAAAAGTGAAGACGAGGCGTTAGTCACCACCTGTTCTCCAGCAGAGCAGCAGGAAGTAACTCCTTTAACCAGCAGTCCTCCAAAACTGCTGTGATGAGAGTCTCTTCATGAGCGTTGCGTCAGCGTTGCTGCAGCGTTGCGTCAGCGTTGCTGCAGCGCTGCTCCAGCGCTGCAGCTCGGTGTGGGATCATGTAAATGATAACTGACGTGTGCAGACGAGTCCACAGTCGTGTCTTTGTTCACAACACGATGCGTTTCCTGGAGGCAGCAGCAGGTGTTTCTGTAGCCAGGTCCTCAACGGCTGCTTTGTTCTCAACTCGTGCTGCTGCATTGACGTCACAGTTCATCGTTTTCATGTGTTAATCCAAAAACTTTCTACGTGACATTCTGATTTCATCCTTATTTTGTCAGTTTAAAAAAACAGTTTTGCATCTTTTCTGTGGCTGCTTTGTGTCTTTCTGTGAAGGTTTCCTGTCTTGTTTGTCTTTGCGGTGGCTTTGTGTCTCTCACTGGTGGTTCTTGTCTCTTTTCACTGTTTTGTGTCACATCCTCGTGCTGCTTCGCCTGCTGTTGCTTGTAACGTTGCAGTGTGTGCATCAAACTGTTCCTGTCTGTAGTTTGGTCACGTGTCAGCCTCTGACTCCATCTTTTAAACCTCTTCCAGAAGCTCCGCCTCCTGCGTGGTCATGATGAACCTCGCCCTATCAGATAGCAGCTTCTCCCTCACCCTCCCTCTGCGATTGGCTTATTACTTCGGGGGTGGGAAGTGGTTGTTCCCCGATTGGCTGTGCAGACTGTGTGTGTTTGGCTTCTACCTGAACCTGTACACCAGGTAACACACACACACACACAGACACACACACACACACACACACACACACACACACACACACACAGACACACACACACTAAAGTTTCGCTCTTCCTCCCTNACACACACACACACACACACACACACACAGACACACACACACACACACACACACACACACACACACACACACACTAAAGTTTCGCTCTTCCTCCCTCAGCGTCCTCTTCCTCACTCTACTGAGCATGCTCCGCTGGTTGGCTGTGGCCCACCCCCTCCGTCACCAGACTCTGGCCACGCCCACCCGAACCTTATTGGCCTGCCTGGGAGTGTGGCTGGTGGTGGGCGTGTCCTCCCTTCCGTTCCTGTCCAATGGGGTGACATACAGGTGAACAAACGATGCCTGGATGTGCCCACGGATCATTTAGCTAAACTGATCTAATGTAACGTGCTGAGTAACTGTTATTTTAGAAAGTTGAACCTGAAGCTCCTTTAGATAAAACAGCTGTTTAGAACTTACACATGTTTACTTAAATCGTTCTTTCAGTTCTTTCCATATATTTGGAGTGTTTTCCTCATTTTTACCTTCGACAGCTAATTTTATATATTTTTTCAAGTTTCAAACGTGTGGTTCCCTGTTGGCAGGCAGGGGGCGCCGCGCTGCTTCGAGCCGTCTACGCCGTCCTCCTGGTCGCGCCTCCTCATCCTAAACTACATTGGATTGGTCCTCGGCTTCCTCCTCCCCTTCCTCACCATCATCAGCTGCTACGGTGGACTAGTGCGGCGCCTCACGTCCAGCTCCGGCGTTCGCCACACCGGCGTTCGCCGAGGCGCCGCCTGCAGGCGCCGGCGCTCGGTGCACCTGGTTGCCATGGTGACGGCCACCTTCCTGCTCTGCTTCCTGCCCTACCACGTGATCCGACCGCTGCACCTGCACGCCGTGTGCGGCCGCTGGAGCTGCGGCGTCACGCTGCGGCTGCAGCGAGCGACGGTGGTGACGCTGTGCCTGGCGGCGTCCAACAGCATGGCCAACCCCCTGCTCTACTACTACGCCACCAGGACCTTCAGGGACAGCATGAGGGACGCCCAGTCCTCGCTGCGCTCCACCAGAGGGGGGTCCTTCAGGTCCGGACTGGCCCGGATCAGACGCAGAAATACCGCCTGAGGCCTACAGGGGGAACAGCTTCACCGTTTATTCGCTCTGCAGACATTCATCAGACGCTTGGGACTGAGTCCTGACAGTCCTCACACGCTAACACTCAGCAGCTCTTTCATCGTTGGTCAGCGGAGTTCGACGTCCAACATTGAAAGGTCATCGAGACTCTGATTTTCTGTGCCAGACATTATGACGCCTCCTTGGCAGCATTAGCCAGACAGGACAGGGCGTCCCGACGGTCCTCACCACGAGACCTCAGCAGCACCTCACAGGACAGGCTGGAGGAGGAGCTGGACAGCAGCAGCAACGTCAGGGGGCTTCTTCCACATATGTCCTTCTGACCAGAAAAATAGGCATTTTGTAGTTGTTCTGTCTCTTTGTGGCTGTTTTGTGTCTCTTTGTGGTTGTTTTGTGTCTCTTTGTGGTCGTTTTGTGTCTCTTTGTGGTGGTTTTGTGTCTCTTTGTGGCTGTTTTGTGTCTCTTTGATGCTGTTTTGTGTCTCTTTGTGGCTATTTTGCGTCTATTTGTGGTTGTTTTGTGGATGGAAGATGTTGTTGTGTCCACGTCTTTATCAGGGTTCAGAGGGAGCTGGTGACCAGTGGTAGAGTCCTGCAGAGTAACAGCGCCCTCTGCAGGCTCACTGTTAAAACACAACCTCAAACTGCAGATGTGCGTTTTTCAATAATTGACTTTTACAGGATCAGTTTTATGAATTTTAGGCCAGTAACTAGTAAAATCACAGAAAAAGACAACAAAAAACAACAAACAGTCAGAAAACAGGCCAAAATTGTAAATAATGTCAACAATAAAAACGTGTGTTTTTACAAATTGTAATCTGTTGTGTTATGAATGTGTGACCATAAAATGACACTTTTTAAAAAAAAATTCATTTAAATCTGCAGTAAAATTCCAGATTAAGGCATCGATTTACACACTGACTGTAAAAAAAAAAAAAAAGGTGAAAACTGTTAATAATGTTCACATCAAAAATCTGCAATGTCATTACTTTTAAGGTAGTTCTTTTAATTTACACAGTTTTTAACCTTATTTTTTTTTAACTTTATAGTGTTCTACTGATTTTAATTTATTTTTCTGCCCCATTTTATTAATATTATTTTTTACAGATTTTTTTCACTGCAGTGATTACACATGATCATAAACTATTGCACATTAAACTAAATATTTCACATGAATTTATAATATCACGCTTGACATTAAAATCCTGTACATTCAGCATAAAAACTGATTCTGAAATGTTGCACTTTTTTTGTAAATCTTTTGGCCATAAAAGTACTATTGTGTGTACTATTATATGTATTATATTTAAATGACATGTTGCATAATAAAATATTGCACATGCGTCTCTAAGAAATGATCATAAATAACACATGGTCCGTGGTGATGGTGAGGCTTTTACTTCCTGCCGTCAGCCATCAGATCTGTTCTCCACCACATGTTCCGAACCTTCAGAACTACTGTCGTTCTCTGGAGGCTGCTGAAGGTAAAACTGAGCCCTGATGAAACTCGCGACGACTGGAAACGTTCCAGCAAAGGTTTCAGTGACGTGATGAGCAGCAGCGTCCAGCAGGAGGCGCTGCAGCTCTGCTTCAGCCTTCGCTGACCTCCTCAGTCCTGAGACACAGTGGTGTGCCTGTGTGTTTTGTTTTGTTGCGTTTGTGTTTCCTAGCTCCGCCCCCTTTTGTTTCCAGGTGTCCCTGACTCCGCCCCATTGTTCCTACATCACATTAATCACGTGAACGTTCAGTAAATTCTCATCTTTCGTATTTTATCGAAGCAGCAGCTGGTCTCCATGACAATCACCCAGAGAACTGTCTGTTCCATGAACGTTCTCTGACAGTTCTGCTGATGCTTTCAGTGAGACATTTTCCTTGAGTTCCCAGAATGTTCCTCTGAAAGGAAGAACAACCAGAGACGTTCTAAAAATGTTTGGTGATAACCTTGTTAGAACATTATGCTCTCATGTTCTCAAAACTGAACATTCTTCATCTGTTATTGTGGAACATTGTAAGAACGTTTTAATGATTTTATAGTGTGTTCCTCATCAACATCCCCTTAACAATTTTTGAACGTTGGCTAAAGAACGTTCCTCCTTCTTTATCAGGGAACGTCATCTGAACGTTGACATTAAATCATTCTAATAACTTTATAGGAACATTAGTGGAAATAAAAACACTCTTAAATCGTTCTATGAACATTTGATCAAACCTCTTTCTGCCTGGACACACCCAGCCAGCGGAGAACGTTCCCACAACGTTGGCTGGCATCACCTTCTGTCTAATAACGTTTTAACGATTTAATCTGATGTCCAAACAACGTTTTACGGATGTTTATCTTCTCAGCTGACGTTGCTATGAGGTTAGAACTTTCTACCTGCAGCAGTCAGAGGATGTTCGGAGGACGTTGTCAAGAACACAGATGGTGTTCCACGATGACTGGAGGAAGAATGTTCTCAATGCAACGTTCAGAACATGTTTACCAGATGTTATCGAGGCCTCAGACGTTCCTGTAATGCGGCGTATTAACAATGGTGGAACATTGTGATGACGTTGTGGGCGTGTTGTTGAGGAAACGCTTTACAGAAACATTAAAACGTCCCCGCAATGTTCCATGATAACAGAGGAAGAACGTTCTCAGTGCAACATTTAGGAAACTTTTTCTCCAAACACTTTGAGAACGTCTGTACTCTCCACACCTCTAACAGGACCACTCTGGGGATGTGCTACTTAAAACGTTTGCAGAACATTCTCGGAACGTTGTTTTACAATAAATTCGTCTGAGGACAACTTCCGCTGGAGGGTTCTGCTCCTTTTTGTCTCCATCGGGGGAACAACCATCCGCCAAAGATCTGTGTTTGACACGATGGTCCACTCTGTCGATCTTCAGCCGGACCAAACCAGTCAGGGACTCGTGAGTTCCGATTCCCAGCAGACTCACTAGAAGCCGACAGTGGTCCAGCAGCACTGTAGAAGCCCAGCTACACCCAGACACGATGAAAACGTTAAACGTGTTTAAATTCCAAACTGAACAAGTTCAGCTCTTAAGCAGGGACGCTGAGATGAGTTTCTGATGTGCTGCGGCTGTAACATGCAGGTTTCTGTTGTTCTGATGTTTGTAGTCTCGGTCCAGTTTTATTTATATGTTAATTGTTGTTGATCTGTTTTAACATCCAGGCTTTAAATGTCTTGCTGCTTTAATATTTCCATTATTTTGTTTTTTGGGTATCAATATTCATCTCTACACCTTCATCCTCACCAGGGTCATGGGGGGCGGAGCCTATCCCAGCTGACTCAGGGTGAAGGCAGGTCCACCTGGACAGGTAACCAGTCTATCACAGGGCTACACTTAGAGACAGACAACCAAGCACACTC